AAAGCACTTTATATTGAAATTGCAGGCTTTTTAGCCCACCACCCATCATGAAGCTCTCTGTTCATTATATCATTGTTTATAATTGCCATCTTAGTTGTCTCAGAGACTGGACTTTGCTAATGAGACCGTTTTGAATACTTCAAGCCTCTGCATCGTGCTTCCTTTTCATCTTGGGCTTGGTATAAACTTGCTTTTTATTTGTACTGCCCTTTGACACTTCAATTTTGTGTTTGCTTTTTAAATCCTAGCTAATTAGAGCATTTCACATTCTTCATGATAAAGAAGTTCTTGTGCAGGGCATGTAATTAGAATATCTGATGACAAGAGCTGGGATTTTTAACACCCCAGGGTTGAAAGATCATACCTCAGAGCAACATCTTCCCCTAGGATGTTTTGCATTTGAGCAATTAACCTCCTGTTCAGGACACGGCCCACTATTCATCTCCTAACATCCCTTAGCTAGTATTATTTCAAAGTCTGCTCTTTTATCGCCTTTTATCAAACAGAGTGAACCCTTAGGTCAAAGTAAAAAGGCCCAGAGAGAAAGCCTCATCATCGTGCAAAAATGAGCATAGTGCCTTTTATTAGAAATGTATCACTTACTGCTTCCAAATTGCCTTTTGCCCTACATGAAATTGCTACACTTATGTTTCATTATAGTATTAAAGTTATTTCCTCAGTAAATTATACTACTTGTGTGAATATAAACACTTGTACATACACCCACACATAGGTGCACAAACATACTCATACACACATCCCATACCTAGTGGGTTGCAGAAATTGTAAGAATTAAGGTCTTCATATGCTTTGAGCCAGGACAGAAAAGGATACCTTGAGGCTTTTGTCCCACATCATATTGTCTTTGCATTCCTTCTTCAAGGATTCCACTTAATTGCTATGTAACAAGGGTCCATTTCATAAGTATTGCAATTTATGTGTTATGGGTGCAGTCATGGAAAACAGTGAGGGAACATTGCCTTGAAGAAAAATAAAGTGGCCATCATGGCATGTACATGTCATTGCTGCTACTCAGGAAGCTGTTACTCAAGAAGATTAAGGAAGTAAGAAACCAGCCTTGAAAATATACTGAGAGATCATCTCAAACAGACAAACAATAAATAAGCATGTGGCCACTGGAAGGATTCCTGGGTTCTGGGGAATAGCTCTATAATTGTTTACATATGAGCAGAACTAACTGGAATTGGTGTGTTATCATAAAATAAAAAGATCTGAAGTTAGGATCAAAATGTACTGGAGGAATATGAGTGTGAGTTAGAGGGAGAAAAGGAGAGTATATATTAGCCTATTTTATGGCATACATACATGAAATTCTTAAAAATAAAGAACAAATATTAAAAAGATGATATCTGGGCAACAGATGAGATGAAGACTTAGAAGGCTGTTACCACTACAAACCAGGTTCCAGAAGAGGAACACATACTGCGTGTTGACAGAGATGCAGCATTCACATCTTCCCAAGGACATAGGGGACACTTCAGAGAACTAGAAATAGGCACCATCTGAGTTGTTGACAGGTAAGCAGAAAATCACTGAACAGCCAGAAGAGGAGGGACAGTGGAGCTGAGAAGGTTTTCTAATACTTGGTGATGCAGTCAGGCAAAAGTATGCTCAGAATCCAGCTTAGTTCTTTATGATCAGACTGAAGATCCAGGTGAAGGATAAACAAATCTGGGCATTGAGACAGTCAATCAACAAGGCAAGAAAATAAGCCTTCTGTTCATAGGCAGTGATAAACTTTGGAAGCCTCAGCTCCAAGACCAAAAGAGATACACCAAACTTTGCTCTGTCTGCAGCCATTGCGAGGAACATCCATACTATTCTTCAAAATGGCTATATAAATTCACACCCCACACAGCACTGTATAGGCTTCACTTTTCTTCACATACTGGCCACCCTTTCTGTCTTCCCAGTTTTGGATAATATCCAACTTAATCAGTAGTGAGGTGGTATCTCATTAAGTACTTTTGTTTGTATTTCTCTGGTGTTTGAAGATGCTTAGTGCTATTTATATAAAATTTCAATTAATAGACACACTTAAAATATGCGATATATATGTACATATATAAGATATGATTCAGCCATAAAAATAAAGGAAATGTTTTATTTGACATTAACAACTGTGAACCTTAATGACACTATACTAAGTGAAATAAGCCAGGCATAGAGAGAAAAATACTTTAAAATGTACTCATGCATGTAATAAAAAAAATTTAAACTCAGAGACAGGGTATCTACTTAACACAACTGATAACACTGTTTCAGCCTTCTGAGATAGAAGATCATCAGGTATGCAGCACCACACCCCACCAACCACAATATCTTTTTCATGTGACACAGATAGGTTAATTCTGTCAGTCCCACTAACCAGATTAATATAGAGGTAATTGAGCCAAGGATTAACTGTAAATCAGTGTCAAAGTTATTCCTTCTAGCTATTAAGTACCATAAGTCTTCAGGAGCAATCATTTCACAATGACTCATCATCCCATAAGCTGAACATGAAAAACCGAGCTATCATTTTACTTAGAATTGCACACAGCGCGGTGCTCTTGAAGGATGAGTAGAGACGCAAGCAACCTGCAGCACGCAGATGCATAGACGCAGGTGTAATCTCTGAGAAATAACTATGACTCAGTTATTTCAATTTCAAAATTCCTATCGTTAATATATCTGAGAAAGCCAGCTCAGAGCCAAAGTTTATACCATTGCCAAAGTCAGTCTTCAGTGTAGTTATGAACGAACTCTGGCTAAAACAGCAAAACCGAGTTCCTTACTTCCCACATATTTTCTCCCTTTCCATTCATTATCTGTGCCTCTAAAGTTGAGTCCAAATCTCTGAAGCCTAAGGGGAAGCTCTGCTTTTATTATTCCTTCACGCAATGCCAACAGCCAGCTGAAATGCCCCACAGTACCATAATCCAAAGATTTTATCACCTCTTCTATCATCAAAATTTATCTTTCACATCCAGACTCCTGTGGTTCATCTTATTAATTAATTTAGTCAAAGCCTTCATGGTTTATTTAGGCTTAATTTGTTATCACTGCCAGTAACGTTCCCACTCACTGGGGATTTATTGGTTGAGCCCAGAGAATGAGCCATGTGAGTCTTTGATGGACCTGCAGAAAGAGAGCCGCAGGAAAAGATTCAGCGGGGCACGTGAAGCTTGTTTTCCTAAATTTACACTAAATTTGTGGTTGTGTAGTCTGCAGAGGTTTGTGCGGAGCCCACACCTGAGATGTGTTCTCTTGAGAGAAGACCCTCTACAAGTGGAATCCTTGAGTCTGTGGTTTGGAGTCTTCATCATGAATTTAGCAATTTCAGAAAGAATGGATTCAGAATCGCATAAGTTTTTAAAACCCTTGATGAAAATCATTGACAAGTTATAGACATTTTAACACTGGGAAAGTGCCAGGAGAAGGTAATTGAAATGTAAATTATAAGTACAAATGGTCACATAAAAAGCGGGTTTATTTTAAATTTCATAACAATCCAATGTATGGTTATAAATTTGTGAGTGAAATCAGAAAGTTCCCCTTACCTGCTACTCCTGCTTGGGGGACCAAGCATGGATGATGGCTTTATTATCTCTCTCCTGAGAATTTGCCAGCTGTTAGAGACAGTACAACACAAAGTGCCCTCTTGGATTGTTGCCTCTGAATTAAGGGAAAGCAGCAATAAATGAACTACCAAGACATGGTTTCACTCCCCCAGAACTGTAAAGTTTAGAATTCCGTGACTGCTGCTTCTGGTTTAATTTCCTCTTTAAGTCCATCAGGTTCTTAAATATTTCATATCTAAACTACAAAGTATACTTTTCCCCAGTATGATAATCTCATTAAACATTTTATAGATGAGATTTCTGTGAGTCATTTACAGAGTCTGCTACATTGAAATTATACCCTCTATTGAGGCCAGTGGATACTTTTTTTATAAAAATCATGATAGTAAACATATAGTTTGTGGGCCACCTAATCAATTCCATCACTGCAGTGTTAAAGCAGTCGAGAAGACAGGTGGCGATGGGCATAGCTTTGCTCCAATAACATTTTAAATACAAATAATAATAAACAGGCTAGATTTAGTCTTAGGTACTTGATGATGCTCCCTCTATATAGTGATTTGAAGGAATTTTCCAATATTTTACGAATAATAACTTGCAGTGATTTTTAAGGAACTTCACATTCATTGTCTTCTATGTTGCTTTGTTATGGTCGGTGCTTAAGATGTGTTGTGACTTAACTGACTCAGTAAAATACTTTGAAAGCATAATTTATTTAATTTGATGATTACTGGTAATAAACATAAGATAGTCTTAGAGAAAATAAGTAGCTTGAAGACTGCTTTTTTCTTTTATAATATGAGCAAATTTTTGAGATACTGTTTTCAAAGAACTTTTCATTTGTCTGAGAACATGTAGAATATATGTGTTTTAATTCCAAAATCATTTAAAAGAGATTATTTACCTGTCTATATGAATAGGAATTAATGTCTTACATTAATATTATGCTGTTCTATATGAAAATAAAGTCATACAAAAACAATGAAAGTATCTCAAAAGCATATCTACATTGACAAAATCCTTATAGAGCTAATACTCAAATATTAATTGCCAATAATTAATTATAAATAGTGAAATTTAGAGTAACCATGTAAATGTTTTAAATGAAGTTAGAATTAATGTGTTTATTGTTTTCACTTGATGCTATTAAATTAGCTCTTGTTTTAAAACTTATTAAGGTCTGCTGTCTGCTTGCAGACATTGACTCATTACACTTGCTAAAGATAATGCCTAATGCATTTTTAAACATTGTATTAACCCCCAAAGATTTAAGTATTATTCTATCTTGACTCTGTAAATTAGGTAGCCTAAAATAAAATAAAAATGATACTTTTTAAAAACTATGTTTTTAATTTGAATAGAATTACAACATTTGCCTTTTCTCGTTCTTCTCCCACCCCTCTCAGGTACCTTCCCGCCAACTCCTCCCATGTTCTTCCTCACTCAAATTCGTAGATTCTTTGTTTTTCATTATTTTTTACAGACGTGTGTATGCAAATGTGCAAATACAACCTGCTGAGTCTTCTTCTGCTGTTTGTGTGTATATTGTTTCAGGGTTAAACACTCTATATTGAACAACCAATAGGAGGCTCATCCTGGGAGAGATGGATTCTCTTCCTTCTAGCAGTCATTAGTTGACTGTAGTTCTTTATCTGGGGGTGGACCCTGTGAAATGTTCCCTCTTCAGTTAATGTGTCCGTATATATTACCATTCTTCTGGTTTTGTTTTAGTTCACCACAGACTTCCTTATATACTGGCTCTTACATTCTTCTGGCCCCTCTTTCCCTTGATATTCTTTGAGCCATAAATGTAGGAGCTGTGATGCAGACCTATCCACTGAAGCTGGTATCCCCAAGATGTGCTGATCTCTACATTGTGTACAGCTGTGTTTTTCTGTGATGTTAACCCACTTGTAATGAGAGGCTTCTTTGTGAGGGGTGGTAGCTATACTTATCTATAGATACAGGAAAAAGATTCACATAAGACTTTTGAAAGAAATAAGATATCCAAAATAGAATATTTACTTCCTCTGAATGTTCCTTTTACTAGACTGGCCTTTGAGGCTTCATGGAGATCAAAATTAGTTCTCAACTGGACAGCACAGAGCTGTTTAAGGATGCACTTTGTCTTTCTGGCATGCCAGAGTATCTCTAGGCAGATTCTGCTAAATATTCCAGGAGCTCCATACACTTAAGAGTCCTTTCCAGATTTAGAGTGGATGAAATTGTCTGCTGCCTGCAGTTTTCTTTGACACTTTTCTCACATACTATAGAAACATTCTCAAATCCTAAAGCCTAATCCTTGAGCTGACTTCCTTCTGCCTTTCAGGAAAAAAAAGAATAGGATAAGCTTAGATAGCATGCCTTTATCCAAACTGATTTTTCCAATAACAACAAAAAATAATTATCAATATTATTTACAAACTACTTCATTTTGTTTTTTTTTCTACTTAGTTTTTACTCTAGAGGGGAAAAACTCCTCTAAAGAAGGCCCAATATGTCTGCTCATCAAATGAGTGACTTCCTGTTTCCTACTATGGTGGTTGGAAGCAGTGCTACAAGTTACCTTATGCCACTTTCCAAGAAGAGCCCTTGCCACGTGTTCTAGCCAAACATCATCCAGGAGTTTGATCTCTTGCTCACTTCACCATATGATATTGATTACAGTCATGACGAGTCTTTCTATTATGAGTAAAAGTTTATCTTTCTTAAAATTCACTTATAATTAGTGTAACTCAAAGCAGTGGAAATCAGTACAAATATGAACGTATCTACAGAAAGACCAACTCTCCCTTGTCCCATGTCTTTTGGGTCCTTAAATATCTGCAGTGGGGCATTTCTCCTACTACTTTTTGGATTCATCATTAGTCTTCTCAGAATCCAGTAAAAATGCTCTACATTAAGTTTACTTCCTTATTTATGTGTGTTTGGGAGGAGAAGGTGTGGTCATGCATATGGAAATCAGAGGACTGTGGGAATTGGCTCTCTTCTTCCACCAGGTGACTTCTGGAGACAGAACTCAAATTATAAGGATTGACAACAGTGTCTTTGCCTACTTTGGGACATCTCACTGGCCCAGAAGTGCTCTGCTGTTTAACTACTGATTTTGAAACAATCAGATTTTTGATGTTACATAATATATAGTATGATGACATACCTCAGCAAATACATTTGACTTACAAGGATATTAAGCTCACATATTTATTAAACAAAAAATCTATAGTCAGTTGTTGAAAATATTTAGGTGCCCAAATTAATGCCATGTTTACAGGTGTATAACTTATTGTTTGTGAATTTTTCTCGCCATTCATTTCCATATATGTAATAGAAATACTTTAATTATATATACACCAGTGGAAACAATTAGTATATCTTACAATTATCAAGGTTTTCAAAATATACTAAATATTTTTATATAAAAAGAATATTTTTCATTAAAATTCATGATTAAAAATCAAATTATTTTTTAGTGTAAGAAGACATAAACATTATTTTCAAGCTTGGGACTGAAGTTTAGACAGTTAAACGGCCTTCTCTGGAAGTGTAAGGGACTGATTTCAAACCGAATACCCACATCAAAGTCAAGCAAGGCGTTGTACGTGTGTCATTCTAGAGCTGGGGAAGCAAAACAGTAGAAGCCCTTGGGGCTCAGTCACCATCCTGCCAATCTCATTATACAAGCCCCAGGTCCCACTGAAAGATATCTCAGTACCTCACATATCACACACACACACACACACACACACACACACACACACACGGACACACACGGACACGGACACAAACGGACACACAGACACATGGACACACACGCACATGCACACGCACATGCACACAATCATTCCTTTAGGCTATGCTGTGGCAGTATTGGCTTTACCTTCCCTGAATCACCGAGTATCTGAAAGTCAACTTCCATCACTGGTTTTTCCCCTTGGGTATGTACTGTTCAATTTGATATTATTGCTGTGTTGTATTTGAAAAGGGAGCTTTTAAAGCTAATCTAGTTGTCTCTGGTTCATCTCCTCTTCCAGATCTTGCTACCTGTATATTCCTGGCAATGCATAAAGCAGGAGCATTTTAAGGAACCTACTCTTCTGCTCTTCCACTGCACAGGGACACACGCCGAACTTGCCGTGTGTGCTTGGAGTATAAATTTATAGCACATTTTTCAAGGCATTCACTGTCAATTCAGCTACATTGCTATTTTCGACTGTTTTATGATGTCAATTTTTCACAGTCTGACACTCTAGTGGATTCCAACACACACACATTCAGTGGGAGAAGTCCAAACACTAAAGAAATACTGGACTATCAATCAAGTAACAAACACTTACTGAGTTCCTACTAGGGGAGCATTACTCTGGTGGGTGAGAGTGATACAGAGAAATATAAAACATGGCTCCTGACATGAAAAAGAAGAGTATGGGATTCTGTGAGAATGCACACACCTGCAGGCATAGAGACACACACTCAAACTCACACATATTACACACATGCACTAACCCATGCACACATACACACATAAACACCCACACAGGAAACAACAAAAAACACATACAGAAACACACACTTTCACAGAAACACACACACACATATGCATGCACAGCCACACACACACACACACACACACACGCATAAATACAAACACATGTGCACACAATTAATATTCCTAGAACGCATATAATGATTTTCACTAAGTTCAGAGGAACTGTTGAACGGTAGTGTTTCAAAGCAAAACTAATGCAAAAATGTAAAAATCCATAAATACAATTCTAGCACCCCAGATACATTCCAGTCGACTATATGTGTGACCCTATTTCAGAGAGCTAACTATACATTATTCCTTAAATATACCTTTAATTTATCTCATCTGTGTATAATCTATTTCCATTTACAAGGGATAAATTTAAAAAGAAAAAAAAACACCTTTCTTTTAGATTTTTAAATCTTTTTCTCCCAAAGTTTAATTCTTCTGACTCACAAAGGTAGGATCTAAAATAAAATCATGACATAAAGTACAAGTACAACCGTGACTAACCACGATGTTTCCAGGAAATCTAAAACATGCGGGAATGAAGAAGGAATGTCAGCCTGCTGACCATCCTTCTAAGGACGTGTCTAACTGTAATGAACTGAAATTGACTGTTCAGAGCTCACTTATTTGCCTGGAACAGCCTTTGAGTTTGTCAGTAAAATGGACTTGTATCAGAATTGGAATGAAAAAGATGGGGCCATTGTTTTCTGGAGGGAGTTAAAGGCAGGTGTGTGGGCACAGGCTGTGTCCCAGTGGGATGCTTGGGCATTCTCAATGAGTGCATTCTTCGATGTTGCAGGCTGAGATAGTTATTAAGGATTCCCAGAAATTATTTCAAATAATCACCACTTTTGAGGTCACATTTAACTATCACTTCCCACCTTCTGGCTAAGGTCTCTTTAAGGGTTTTCCTGAACTTTAGGGACTATTTATTTGACCTTAATTCTTGCAGCCTGCAACATTTGTATAATCCTGTTTCCTTGTCTAGAACTCTGTTCCTTGTACTCCACAAACAATACAGTGGCTTTGTTGTCCAGCTGAATCTCAATGGCCACAGATGAGAATCCTCAGGTAAAGTGATTTTAAAAGACTCTTACTCTTCCAGGCAACCATCTTCTCAAGAACAATAGAAACCAATGTATATCTACATCAAATTTCCAAAGCAAGAGGTCACTTAAAAAATAAAAAATATGTGACAGTTGCTGATTCTAGTACCTGATGATAATTCAAATAAGATTCAAGGAAGAAGTTCAGGTTTAGAAGATTTAGGAAACAAAGGCATGAGGATGAAAAGTCAGATAACACTGAACCCAGCTATAAGAAATGCAAACATATCTGGGAAGAAGACTGAAGTAATTAACTAATACAATAAAACAGGGGAAACAGGAAAGTCAACTGTGCAGAAGAAATTAGACTATTTTGTAGAACCAGAGTAAGATGGACTAGTTAAAAACAGCCACAGTTATCTTGATAGGATTGGGAAAATCAGTACATGTGGAGAATTTGGATATTACCATATACATACTTTCCATCTTACAAAGCCTTTGGTCCTGCGACTCATAACTGCCTCAAGTGTCAAGGTTTCAAGTTTCCACTTTAGATAACCTTGTACTTTTCTTATTCTCTCCATTAAATATTCTTTTAACTATCAAAACCCAAGTTGTATTGTCATGCACTTTACCTAAGAATTGCCATGCCTTGGACTTTAAAATGCCTCAGTGTCAGAGAGAGGAGCTAGAAGCACTGTCACAGAACCTGCTGAACTAGAGATTTCCATACTAATCTGAAGGGGTTCTGTTCCTTGCCAGGACACATTTACCCAAGTACACAAGGGGGAATGGGATTTATAAAGCTTGTAGGATGAGCTCATTCTATGAACCTGATTATTTGTTGTGAATTTTTATCAAATTAAATACAGGAAAATCTATCAAATTGGAGGAAATGTTTGCCAACTATACAAATAATCATTTCTATTTAGACTAAAGAAATACCATAACTCAACATAAACAACAAATAACTAAATTTAAAACCAGATTAAAGTCTTGAATAGTCTCTTGGTCAAGAATAACATATAAATGACCACAAATATATGAATAGATGATAAAAATCACTAATAAATAATTTAAAATAAGAACTTTATTGAGCTTTGTAGAAAGAAGGATTTCTGCTATCTCAGAAAGTAAAAGTAACAAGCAAGGATATGTAGAATGCATCCCAAACAATTGAAAGCATGAGTAAGCTAAAAGAAATATTTGCACATTGTTGTTCATAGCAGTAGTAAAATGTAGCCAAAAAGCGACAACAGCAAATGTTTCTAAAGATTAATGACTAAACAAAATGTGGTATGTTCAATCAAATTGTGTTTAGCCTTAAAATGGAATCCTACTACCATAGACATTCTCTAAAATACATACATACACATATATAAAAACAGTTTAAATGAATTGATCCTATGGCAGGCTGACAATGCTCCTCTCAGCATTGTTAATAATACAATAGTTTAACATAAAAAAAATCCAGTGCTAGGATGTGTTACCTCTTTTAGCGTTGTTGCCTGGTAAGATCCCACATACCACCTCTTCCACCAAATTTAAAGGCTACGCTCAGTGTTCTTGGTTACCGTTCAGCATTTGACAGGAATTCTGAGAGGATCTCAAAAGCATTGGGGAAAGGTAGTGAGGGTGATCAAAATACAATGTATAGGATTCTCAAAGAACTAGTAAAGATTTTTCAGTTAAAGAAGGGCATTTTGAGATGTTAGACATATCTGGCAAATGGAAAAACTTTACAATCTAGATCAAACACATAGAGCTTATGCCCAAGACAAAGACTAGTGGCAAAAATTGCAAATGCTGCATGATTCCATTCATCTGCGAACTCAAGTAGTCAAATTAGAAGAATGATAAGGTTTAGTGCTGATTACCAGAGAGGGCACTTAGGGGAAAGAAGGGCTGTTTATTGGATGTTTACAAAGCGAAAAATTTCTAGAGATTGGTTTCACAACAGTATAATATATACTTCATCAAAAAAAAGACAAAATGTTTTCGGCACCTCCCTCCAACTTGCAGCATGGTGACATACCTAAGTTTCACATCTGAGACAAATGAGTCACAAAAATAGTCATCCCTCCGATAACACGTGTCGCCTA